TATTAGTATAATAATTGAGTTAACCAACTTATTTAGGCAAAAGAGGTCGAAATATCCACGGCAGGTTTCCAAAGACATCATATGGAAAAAAAATATCTTCATAAATTGTATGTTTTCTGTGGTCTCCGTAACGGTAACACAGAATTCTAAATATCATAGGATAACAAATCTGCACACTTTCAATATTATCAATGTGTAGGTACTTTGTAAAAAGGAGCTCATATATTCCAGCAAACTCCTAACCAGTGCTCTGTACAGATATAATAAACTAATGGATCTCTTAATTTCCGTAGTACTACGTGAAATAAGTCCCAACATTCGATTGCTTCGAGCTATAATATAGTCATAATGATCACGGAAAGATAATTCCCAAATCCCTCACAACCGATAATTCCCAAATCCCTCACAACCTCCCTACTCTGAAGAACCTGGCTCCTTATAGCATAGTGTGGTTTGTCTTGTAGATCTTATTTGTGAATGATACCACAAATTTATGATTTTGAAGTCTCTTTATTTATGAAACAAAACATTTTTTTAGAGTTCCAATGTGACAACCACTACATCAAGATAATTTAGACGTTGTAGTTCTTTATATTAAGATTACAATTAAAAAGACAGTCGACACCTTAGTCTTATATGAATACGGAACCAGCAAAAGGGCCGAAACGTCAATAAAACTAAATATAAATACGATAAAACCGTTTAAAAGTTGTTTCATTTATGGATAATGCTCGTGACAATATAAGAAATCAATAACATATGACTTGATATATTAATGATTTTTATAAAGCGAGTTTCTTCTTAATTTTATAAATCTTATTTGTTGGTCAGGTTTTGACTGACAAAGTCCTTAGAAATCTGATAAGCTTCTCATTTTAAATTATAGATAAGTTGGACGTTTGACCCACCTCTGAGCGTCAGCCTTGCAGAACATTTTCGGTCCAATGACTATCAGCTCTTCTAGCTGTGTCCCGCCCACCGCACTTCATCTGAGCAATCCTTCGACCAGTTTCAGTTTTAGTTCCAAGTCTCCATGAGAGTAGCTTCGGACAAAGTCCCGCGAGCGTTGTTGTTATGCAATATCGCAATGGTTGATCACAGGATGGGTGACTCAAAAATATTTATTATCTCGAAGTGTTTTGAGTTCCAAGATTTGCCCACTAGTACTAGCGCAAGGCAAGTTAAATAAAAGCTTGTAAAAATGCAGTACCTTAAAAAATACTTTTGTTCTATGAAGTTCATGTCCGCGGTATTCGAGAGTAAGGAGGGGTTCAACTTTGCATATAAATACGTATAAAGTTTGTGTAATCGGGACAAGAGTCTAAAAAATAATAATTTAGAAGAAACATGGTTAGCGTCAGCTAGTGAAAACAGTATACTACGAACGTAAATTTGATGTCGAAGCCTTCATATATTCTATTGTTATTTCTTCATATGGGTACTGAATTCAAAGATTGAGTTTCCTTTCACAGTTTCAGTAATTTTTTCTTTATACTTATTATAATCATTCGGACTATTGATTCCAGTAGATCACATTTCTTTGCTAATCCACAAATTTTTATTTTCGTTTAGTCTTTGATAATATTTAGTTAACACTCCAACGGGAGTATTTTTCGTTAGATTCAATAGACTCATTATTAGGGTTCCGTAACCAAAGGGTAAAATGGGAACCCTAGTACTAAGACTTCAAAGTCTGTCACCAGGTTGTATCTCATGGAACGTTAGACAGTTGAAATTTTCACAGATGATCTATTTCTGTTGCCAATTCAACATAAAATACTAAAAACCAGAATAAAGTAAATATTTAAGCGGGTTCCCATACAACAAACGTGATTTTTTCGCTTGTTTTTGCTCGATATTGATAACGACAACAAGTAGACGCTTAAATTATTTACAGAAAAATTATTTTACTAGGTTAAAATTAAACAAATATATTTAAGGGGGGCTGTTTTTTTTTGATAATATTTGCGCGCCAATGCTTACTGTGGAAACCGAGTAGGTATCTCCGAATTCGCGTAAAACGTGGTAGCGTAACTCGAGTAACACCCCGACTTGTTACTTGTTGAAAAACGATATCTAAGTAAAAGGCCAATCTCTGCCATTCGCCTGCAATTAGCAAATACATATGTTTTACCAGCGATCAAGTATACAAAAATAAAATTGTATCAAAAGTCATTCAATCCTATTTAAATTTAAATTAACCTATTTAAATTCGGAAAATATCATTATTTAACAGAATGATTTAAAATAATGTTATGAGACTATGTTGGGAGACTAAAGATTATTTTAAAAAGGAGGTTTGGATTAAGATCTTTTAAAACCAATAAAAGGTATTTTAACAAAAAAGAAAATGCTCTCTTTTACATGATTAATTTTTTATTCAATTAAATGTCTGTTCACAATATAAACAACAAAAAGTTTTTATTTACAATAAGTTATATATTTTAAAATAAAAATAAACAAATCTTAATTACACTTTCTTATATTTACGTATAAAAATGCATTTAATTATAATAGCCAGTGGAAAAGTCACTCACTCTCCGCTATCAATTATAAATCACTCATGAACTTGCCATTTTACATGGAAGATATAATTCTACTATAACTTCAAGCTGTCCTTATTGTAATTTTCAATAAAATCTATATTATTGTTGAGTATAAGGTTTTTCTGTATTTTACTTAGAAAATATATTGAATACGCCATTTTAAAAATACACAAACCATCTGGTCAACTTGATGATGCTTTGTAGTATATTATTTGAAGTACTCACAGGAAATAATATTATTGTGAATATCTTCGCATAAAATGGCAATGTCATAAATAAATAAAAAATAGACATTCAATAATATCATCGCTGCATTCATTTTTCAAACAAGACTCAATACAAAACTGTTGACTTTGACATTGAGACTAATTTTCGTATCACAATTAATTCCTTTATTAAAATACCTATTGAAAATGAGAATTTTTTATCAGCTTAACTTACAATACTGACTTTTAGTAGAATATAATTGTCGACTAATTTTATATTGTTTGTCCGTCAGGTGGATTGTTGAAAAATATGAAACACGTATTTTTTAAATTACATTAAGTAAACATTTTCTACAAAAATGTGACGTAGCGAGCCCCCACTCAACTTTAATGCAAGAAATAGCTTAGATAACAGTATATAAGCTATTTCTTGTTATATTGAAGTAAAAAAATATACGAACGACGTCTTGAACTAGAAGTAGGGGCAAAAAAAAATTATTGGACGATTCAAAAGTGCTTGTAATAAGTCTACTCGAATAAAGATATTTTCATTTCATTCGTATCTTATATTTTTCTATTATCTGACTGACGGTTTAAATAGCATTTTTTTTAACCGAACTAATTTTAATACAATATAAATTCTACCTATTCCATATCACACGGCGTGACTGTTTTTTTTTTCTGTTCTAAGATTTGGACTTAATATGTATGACAATAAAGTTAAATTATCAATAAATAGCGCGACGGCGGCGCCTTCATAAGGTCGATATTGAAGTATGATTCGCAGACGATTGTCAACTGGCAACATCACTGTAGCGCAGGGAAGGCAAACCTTTATGCATAAACGTGCCATTTTTTTCTAACGAAATGTTTAATGGGGTCGTAAACGTGCCATCAAATAATTTTGACTTTGTGATTATTGGGAAAACTCTTTATTTACCCCAAAAAAGGCACATTTTGCAATGTTACTCGTTCCCTGCTCTAACGTAACGTTGAACGGGCGGCCATCTTGTCGTTCACGTTTTGATCGGGTTATAGAGTGTTTTTGATTGTTAAGTAATTGTATTGAATTAAGAAACTGTCAGATATTTTTGTTGATGCCTATTTACATCAACAGGAGAGTTCATAGCGCGTGTTGTTGCTAATTCACTCTCGTCTAAGAATCGATACTTCGGTATCGAATAATGGAGGCGCCACCGTTACGCTTTCACTTTCTTATTTAAAATTATAAATTAAGATTTATAATTCTACAAATGCTTTGGTGCACCCTAATCACATTTTGCACCAAACAGGATCATAACTTGTGACGATACTTATCAGGAGTCCACATCGTTAAGCTACATCAGTCGTAGGAAGGCTAAATAATTAGGTTTATTTTATACATGTTTTATTCACTTTTTTATTATATAATAACTTTCGTTTCTTTTAAAGGCAGTGAAGAGGCTAATTATTACAAAGAAACAATATTCAAAACAATTCGTTTTTTCAAGTATAAATCGCTCTTGTATTTATAACTTGTAATGCCTTCCATTACTTTCGATAAAACTGTTGACAAAATTTAACCAATATCTTCTCCAGACTTCATTATATTGAGATCTTGTGTTTATTGAAAAAAAAAAGTGAATTTTGGTAAACACTAAATTAAAACATTAGAAACAAAACCTACGCATAACATGAAAAATAAAATAAATTACTTTCTATTTAGTTATGTAGCGTAAACAATCAACCTTGGCTAGGAATCTAGCAAAACTAGGTAATTCAATATTTCAAAGATTCATGTAAGTACAGCAAGATACAACACAGTCATTCGATTATTTGGATACAATCATTCGATTGGCGCTTGATAGCGCTTGTATTTTGCACCTTACAGTTATTGAAACAAGGCTCATTATAAATTTTATTCGATGGGGAAGCTCTGCTCTGCGCAATATAACATTCAACATGTCCCATATCAGTTGGTAGTTACTGATTACGCACGTTACTACAAAAGGACAGATTTCTTTAATCGATTTAAAGACTTGTCTGTTACAAAGTTAAGCTCAAAACTGATTGCAGAAATTTGACCTTATGGAATAACATGATGTGCTGTTGTGTATAAAAACGCATGTACCGATCACAGAATATACAAAATAGAAATTATATTTACATTGATTTTACCCTAATGTTAGTTGTACGTAGATATTAAAATCTATGCAAAGGAATTTATGACTACACAGACTACATGTTTTCGAGGATTTTATTTTATTTTATCGGTGAATTTTCATTTAGTGCTAATTTAATATCCAATGGTTTTACTTATTATGCCAATAGTGTAGACATTTGGCAAAAATATTACTCGTCAATTTTAACGGCATAAATTTTCGAAGTTATTTATGAACTATTTATATTTAGAAACACATTTAGCAGCCATAACTAACAGTGGTATACATATTTAGTCTTAAAAATAAAACTACCTAAACAATTGGAATAATTAAAATTACTAGAAAAATAAAAAAAAGATATACAAATTTACTAGAGAGTTTAACCGACAAAATTATACATTATGAATCAATCGTAAACTGATAGTGTGACGACGCACTTCTTCACTATGTTAAGCGTATAATTTATATATTTAACCATCGTGAAAAGACAAGAAAACATAAAAAGCTTTCATCCAATAATTTACATTCACGCTACTTTTCTTAAAAAAAAAAGGTTAACCCTACGTAAGGTAAAGGGGTGTGTAATCATCCATGTTACTCAGCGAGGTTAATGTTTCGTTTTACCTCAGCAAATGTTAGTTTTCTTATTATTATTGTATTAATTGCTTTAAAATATTGTATGGTATTTCATTACTATTACAAATATCGAAATTCGGTTGACTACTATTTACATAGTTTCTAAGCTACTTTTCCTTATCCGTCCACGATATAGAGAATTCCTGTTATTTAAATGCGAATTTGCACTTTATTTATAAAAATATTTTACTCAAAAATGTTCCATGATTTGCTTTCATTGCACAAATGCACTTCAATCAATAAAGGCATACAACATTTCAGATTCCATTTTCATATAAAAAACGTTTTCAAATGATCTAAGTTATTTTTATAAAAAGAATTAAAGCATCATTTAATCTATCTTAACCTGAACAATATCTTTACCATTAACTTATGTAAATGTTTCGCAGGTGGAATTAAAAAAGAATTAATACACTTTTTATGGTGGACGCGCTTTGGTGATTTTACCTTATGAATAAAAGCAGTGACATAACGTATTCTAAAGATGGCAAACTGAAATCTAAAATTTTCCCTGTGATTTAGATTGAGCAGCAAATTTCCTTACATGTACTATGTAGTCAAGCATCACTGAAGCGAATGCAGCGTCCAATACAAACTGTGGTATTCTACCTGTATACGAGAATTGAAAATGTTTATAAATAATTTTGAATGCAACGAGCATATAAGTGAAAATAATGTTATTTTCTAACCCAATTCTCAACAACCGAACAAAAAAAAATTTCGAAGAAAGGAAGCAATAAATAATCTAGTGAAATTAAACAAATAAATTTAATAAAAAATTAAATATAAAACATATTGTATGATGTTAAGTCAATAATACAAATGACTGCCCAAACTCTATAAAATGTTCTAGAGTAAGAGGGGTAGTAAATAGGGTGGGTGCACCAGTACCAAGCCGATAAAGCAACATTAATTATGTAGTTTCAATATTCAATTTTTCCTAATTGCTATTAAGATTTACCATCCAGTCCGCATTGGGCCAGCGTGGAGGGTCATGGCCCATCCTCCTTAACCATTCATAATGAAGGCCGGAGCCCCTGCAGTGGGGACGTAAAAGGGCTGACGATGATGATGATGATGATGATGATTAAGATTATTTTTATTAAATAGGTTATAGAAGGTATGTAAATGTTACAAATGTTTGGTAGAGGTGCGGCAATGCTATAAAACATAAAAAAATGAAGATTGACATGATATACCACCAGTTGCTGGTGTGAGACTAGCGTACCTACCCTTTATTGAGTAGAAGTTAATAGCTGATAAAGAGTAAATAGGGTGGAGAGAAAGACTGATAGAGGGGTGGGAGAGAGATAGAGAAATAAATACCTTTGAGATCACAGCACATTAACCATTGGAAGGTAGTATGTTGTTCGATCTTGCCTCCAGGAGTCTTCGCCTTTATAGGCTTCATGAGCCAACAGCCAACTTTATTTTCCCCTCTGAAAAGATTAAAACAAAATTATTACTTAAAAAAAAAATGATTTCAGATGAATTGCTAAAAATAAATAGTGTTAAAACAAGTATATTGGTCTTCAATATTTCTGAGCATATTTTATAGGGTGCTTAGAAACTAGGTAAAGATTTTTTAAAGCCGACAATACTTTTGGAGTTAAAATATTGGTAACTAATTCCTTAGCATCCGATATAGGTCGTATTATATTCAATTGGCTTTAAAGATGAATTTAAATATTCTAGAATACACGTACCTGACCATATCCCTGTGCGGGGGATACCCGGGCACTTGTACGCTGACCCCGCTGGTTATATAAGCGTACGGGTCACTGTCCACCACTTTACCCTCGCGCGACAGCATCGCCGTGCGCCGAAGTATTATGAAATCACGGGGGGCAATAACACCCCTCCCTCCCCCCGCGGTTACTTGGTAAGACAGATCGACGCCTGGCGCTATTTCCTAATCAAATATACATACCATAAATATAAATGATAAATAGATAAATTGCTTTTTGGACTTCTACTATGAATATTTTACAATATTAGCAATAGACATTAGGATGATTTTCTGAACCGCACCAAAGCGTATGAGTGTAGAGATTTAAAGCTTAGTTTTAGAAGTTCTAAACAGGAACACCGATTTACAGCTGTACCCTGCTCGTCGTTATTTATTAAATAATTAATAAATATTTTTTAACACCTTTGCTCGTAAAGCTGATGTAATTCCACTGGTTTTAAATATGTAAAGCGGGTCATAAAAATCGCGTGTGTTACCAAAGCAAATAGTTAAGTTATAGTCCATACAAATTCCATAACAGTATTATTTGCCACTTCGTGCGCTGTTTATTTAATGTTTTTTTCTGTTTCCTCGCAAATGTGTTAAAAAACGTCATACGATATACATGCGTATTGGTTATAACATGCTCGGCTCAATTACGCCCTCGCCATGTTATAACCATCATAACGCACTAATATCGTAATGTACTATTAAATTATAATATAAAAAGGCAACATGGTCATCACCATGCCTTCATTACATGCCTACTCCGTGTCCAGCCTAGTGAATTTAAAGTCGCGTCGTAATTTGTGGCTAATTCATTGCTTTCTTCTGCGAATTGACAGCGATCACACAGTCTATTCTTTCAGCTGTGAATTTGATCGCTAGCAAAATAAGGAATCTAAATAACTTGACAGTTGACGCGGTACGCGAATAAAAAAAAAACATTAAATTTATTGTAAACTTGCAATAATCATTACAATAATAATGGATTTAGATCGCAAATTCTCTCCAGACTACATACAGGCCTACCCTTGGATTTAATAAAAATAAAACGACTGTAACGGGCTCCCCAGTGAGAATTGATGAGTGTAAATAACTCCATCTAGCCATGATCAGTGGCTTATCATATCTTCTGTAGCACGGAGAAGCTCAAGATAATAAACTTTTGGTCACCTTTACTACGATTGACAGTTGCTATTGTTGCTTAACCTAAGTATCACAGACTCATTATAAAGTTATAAATTAGATAATTATTTCATAAGAATTTCAAGTCACTTTCACAAAGTATTTTTTTTATAAATTAAGAAATTACGCTAAGCAATAACATGTGTAAGATTTACCTTTATAAGTTCGCTCTTTAGTATTGTCGGATTCCATTCAGGAAGTTTGCATATATTATTTTTGAACTCTTCGTATATGAACTGGGATGGACACTCCACTATACCCTGAAAATAATAAACAAATAAATAGTAAGCATGCAAATAATATTCCAAAGAAATTTTACAAATAATTTAATGAGACATGAACATTTGAAATGTTGATTAGAAAAGACAAAAATATTTAGATCTGTGTCATCAAAATACTCAAGTAGGAAAAGAAAGAAAGCACGAAAAATTATTTTTAGATGAAAATAATTTTAAAATTATAGCTATATGTCATCATTCTTATCCACCGTTTTCTTTTCTATAGCAGTCTGTTATAAAATTTAACCAATTCAAAGGTAAACATAAAATTACATGTTCCTAATGCCTATTTTAACTAAGCTTAGTAGTCGCCCAAATCTAATACCTTATTATAAGCCACCTAACGACGTTAGGAAAAGTGACATGTGTTATGCGGCGATTAGCACTAGACATTTGCGTGTGACAGACAGATCACCGATGTGTCAAGAGATAAAAGTTATAAAGAATTTAACATTTTCCAAAATATATTTTTTTAGATTTGATTCTTCCTAGTAAATCTATGTCTTTTTCTAGGCGACTGAAAACGGGTGTATTCTGAAGAAAAGTGACGATTCGATACAGTATTACTAAGCTGTATTTTAACACATTGAATGCCAACTATATGGTCAGGTCGTATTTGGTTCCCACCATACAAATGGTCTTCTACGTAATACTACGTACTCGGCTTCCCGTTTAAAAATGTCATGTGTGGTGCCTACTACGCAATATTACGTATACGCAACATTACGTAGGTTGGCACCCTTAATAATATTATTTATTCTGGACGCCTACCTACGCAATATTGCGTATACGCAAAATTGCGAACGATCGGCACCTTATCCCAACTATCATCCTCCCTCTCATCTTCTGTCTCTTTTTCACCTAGATCACGCCATAATACTCAATCTATTGCATCATACTTAGTGTCGCGCGGTGCGTGCAGTGAGATTCACGTCGCGTCGCATTAGGTTGATTTGTCGCCATGCCACGTGGACGCGGATTGAATCGGCGTATTTTACGTGGTTGTCGGAAAATACGTTCAAGGCGACCGCTACAAAATCATGAAATTGCTGCCGTTCTTTATGAAGAAGACTCGTCAGATAATGGGGATTTTTCTCCGGGGTCCGGAGACGATTATGATCCTGAGCAAGATGAAAATCAAAATGTTTCATCGGAAAGTGATTCGTCTTCTGATCCCGATGAAGACGGACCATCATCAGTGCCGTCACCACCGCCTGGAGTCGAAGGGCCATCATGTGATCCAGAATTTCAGTGGAAAATGGATTCAGCAAGACCACAACGATTTCTGTTTTTAGGGGAACCAGGTATAAAGACCAATTTTACTTCCTCGGCGAGTGCCTTGGCTGATATATTTTTTTCTGAAGCTTTTTTGGGTTCTATAGTGCAAGCAACTAATAATTACGCTCATCGCATGGCTGGTCCTTTACAAAAACATGCACGGTTTAGATACTGGAAAGACACCAATATCTTGGAAATGCGCAAGTTCGTTGGTATGTTGCTATATATGGGATTGACTAGGTTACCTACAATTGCTCATTACTGGAAGATAGATCAACTGTACAACTTGCCACTTTTTAGACAAATCATGAGTAGAAATCGATTTCAAATATTGCTGCGATATTTTCACTTTTCTGAGAACGATGACACATCTACATCAAGGCTTCATAAAATACAACCGATACTAGACAGATTCAATAATATTATGGCTGATCTCTACTATCCCGAAGCTAATCTGAGTATTGACGAATCGATGGTTCTGTGGAGAGGAAGATTGGTTTTCCGGCAGTATATCAAGAATAAAAAACATAAATACGGTGTAAAATTATATGAACTTTGCGAGTCTTCGGGGATAAATGAACGACCACCACCTGGTGTTCTGCACAGCACGGAAGTTATACTAGATCTAATGGATGGGTATTTAGAAAAAGGTCACACAATATACGCAGACAATTTTTACAACTCCCCGGATTTAACTAGGCGTCTTAGCGAAAAAAAGACATATATATGTGGTACACTTCGGAAAATGCGCAAAAATCTTCCTAAAGATGTCACCAACGCCAAGCTGAAGCGTGGAGAGTTAGCTGCTAAAAGTTGCAACGATATCACTGTTTGCAAATGGAAAGATAAACGTGACGTTATGGTAATTTCAAATAAACACAAACTTCAGCTTGTGAACGTTAGGAACAGAAACGGAAAAGTCTCACTGAAACCTAACATTGTTGCGGACTATAATTTGGGCATGTCTGGTATTGATAGAGGGGACCAGATGGTCTCGTATTACTCTTGCCTCAGAAAGACGCTCAGATGGCATAAAAAATTAGCACTGCACATCTTTGAGGTTTACGTACAGAATGCGCACAGATTGCTACGTTTGAAAGACTGCACATCCAAAATACGGCTCCTAAAGTTTCGGGAAGATTTTGTAAAATATCTACTGGGACTGAACTGTGGCGATATTACTCCCGCAGCTGCAGAAGTACCTGGACCAAATATACCGCGAGTTCAGCCTGAACAAGATCAAGCAAACCCAACTCTGCCTCTGCTGCCTGGGCCAGATGTACCACCTGCATCCCCAGCTGTTCATAAAAGTCGTGTCCCATTGAGAAATTTTCATTACCTAGAAAAGCTCCCGCCTACTGCCAAAAAGGCTGTGCCAGCGAAGCCTTGTCGTGTCTGCACGAAAAATAAAAAACGAAAAGAGTCATCTTTCGTTTGTGCCACTTGCCCGGAAAAGCCTGCCTTGTGTGTTGTCAACTGTTTTTACACTTACCACACTGATCCTCGTTTTGCATAATTTTATTTCAAAATGTTGTTCGTAGAAGTTCCTGTTTATTTTTATATAATTATCGATCTCATTATGGATCTCATTGGATGCCTAAAAAACTATTTTTATGTCATTATAAAACTTCACTTTTCGGCCTCAAAGTGCCTAAGAATATTTGTAATTTGAAAAGTTTTCAAATAATAAAGTTACTTTTTTTCTATGTCTTATTTTATTTGAGATGCCAACGAACCTAAAAACGTCTTTTGCAGGAGGCCTAATAACACAAATACTCATTTAAACTGTAAGAAAGTCCTACGTTGTATTACGTAGTTGGCCCCTGAGCATCACTAGTACTACGCAATATTGCGTAGTTGGCATTCAATGTGTTAATCAATGAACAGCTTTTCGTCCTTATTATTAAGTCAGTTTAGTGAGTGTAGTCACTACATTCATTCGGAAAATTACACTCAGTTACTGTGAGACACACTAGTGTAGTGTGGGTGTAGTGAAGTATAAAAGAAAATCACTCACCGTAAATCTATACACCTTCCCGAATTGATCGGTCCTCTTGGACTCGACCACGTCGCCGTTGGCGCCTCTCTTTTCCACCACCCAGTTGGGCAGATGTAGCACCTTCCACGCGTTGTGCAAGCTCTCATCCGCTTGCGATATGTACTCGTCTATCTATTGACAAAAGGAAGTGAATACAGTAAACACCATATCAATTCTAAACCTTAATTCATTGAGGTTACCAGACGTGCTGCTTTGTGTACTATCAACGAAATTGATGCCTAATCGTTTAGAAAAAAAAATAACCAATGAGTAAATGTATAATCCCTTAATATCTTCCAATAGCAGCGAACCGTCCCTTTTTAATAATTTCTATTGCCTATCTTTACACAATTTCAATCAGTTTCATTGCAACTATGGCAAAAAATTGCTATCGTCATGGGATGCCTAGGCCTGTTAATAAAGGTCAATTAGGGTTATAATTAAGAACAGATATTGAATATATACAAGTAGTTAATCTATATTTTAAACAAGCTAACAATTATTTCACGAAGATAATTTAAAAGGAGACTGTAATTGAACTGGTATCCCAAGTAGCACAAAACACCATTATATCAAACTTATAATAGCACGAGTCCAAGCGTTAAGCATTATAATAAAATCGTATATCAACCGTATATCTTTTAAACGACTCTTATACGTAAAATTTGGGCCCCCCCTTTGCACGACTTTAAGCTGTATAAAAGCTGTGCAATAGCACTACAACTTTTGTATAATAATAGCATTAATAAAGTCGGCTAAAAGCATTCTAATAGCCACAAAAAGTTCAATTAGCACCTTAAAGTGCTAATTGAACTTTTTGTGACTATATTACAATTGATATGCGTAAATCAAAATTATAATACGTTAATTTAATGTTATAAAAATGTTTACTGTTTTATTTCCTTTGTAAAAAAAGTATATTTAATAGATTTTAAAAGTATATAATCGGTTTAAGTTATTGTTTTGTGTAAGTGTCATGACATGTTCTTTTGGCTGGACTTTTAAATATTTTTTAATATTAATTTAAACAGCTCCTTACGTGTGAAATAAGCTACAAACATCAGTTTGTGGAGTAAAATATACAAGTTTATGGTGTAAAATACACGCGCCTTCGCAAACTTCCTTTAATATAATAAAAATAATAGAAAATTTAACCTAGTAGCAAAAATTTTTGTTGAATTTTAGGCTTTTAGCATTGTTTTAACAACATAATTGTTTTTATAGGCATCTGTGCACAAAATAAATAATTATTTACCCCTTTTCATCTGACACAGATGACTTTAAATATTTTGTAAGAATTGGAAAAAAAAAGCAAATGGCGACTCGTAAAATAAGGTATTCAAATAAAGTGTAGTAGAGCTGTTAATCGTATTATGGTTAGACACAACACTAAGAGCTCGTAATTCACCGTATAACACACTCCCATTTTAGGTACAGCCGTATTTTAACACTACAGAAGTATCTTAATGTGCTTATAATCATCAAACGATTATTTCATTTTTATTTTGATTTTTAAAAGCTTCAATTAAATTAGAATACTCTTTTTTCAGTTTTCTTTTATATCCACCTGTTTTCTTTGTTTTTCCCAACGTTTTTTATCCATGGCGCCAGCGATGCGTATAAAATGCCACCATTACAATACAATACATAAAATAATTTTACATTTTAATTTCACATAAAAAATAATAACGATCTATTTATTACTTGTATCTCTATAAATAACTTAATATTGATCAAAATATAGCCTAATGTTTTATAAAGTATAGATTAAGAAGATAAAGGAGCTTGAGCTTGATTAAAGAATACCTTAAGAACAAATCGGTGCTAAAGTTTTACTAGTTCTTTATTCAATGTGTATATAGGATAAGCATTAAATCGATACAACCATAGGCCATTAGAAAACCTTTGATTCTAGAAAATGACTAAATACAACTAAGTGCACAAAATAATATTACGTTAATGCTTATATAATATATAATGTTTTTCATATCACCGAAATACGATAACAGCTTTATATTAATATTACCCAATACTTAAATAGGAGTTTTGACATTGGTATACTTTTTTTATTAACCATAATATGGCATTAAGCATTATTAGATAAAATAAATGCCTTTAAACAGATTCGAAACTTGACCAGTGCTGATTAAAAATGTTAGTATGACTTTAGGACATAAATCGGTACTTATTTTAGTTAATATATTATTTATGTGCTACTTGGAATGCAACTTCTGCTAGTTTTTTTATTTATTTATTAGCTCGTTTAGACGTAAACAAGACGTATGAGTTAACAATAATTTTAACAATGTTATTATTCGTTTTTAAAGTACGGTAAAGTCAGATTATACTATAGCTAAATAACCAAAACGTCTATCTGGTCGCCCGTTAAAGGTTCAGGATTATTTTCTGGCAGCGGATCATTTTTTGTACACAATTGCTTCGCACTGTCTTACAGCTTACACCACAAACCAAACTAGGGAACAAAGATACGTTCCTAAAACCTATTCGTTTTTTGTCATTGTTTGTTTTTAATGAATACCCCGACCAAAGACGACGCTATTGGCTACTGCAAGCAGGCAGGCAAGCAAAAAACGCCTAAGGCAGATATTTTGTGTACATCAAGAAAGGTATTCCTAATAAAATATAATATTGAACTGTCGCTACTATATAATATACTACTATATACTATTACTTTCGCTACTATATAATATAAAGATGGATTGATGGAATCAACATTTAGATTTTTTAATTATAGGCACTATTTTTTCGATCTCCAGCCTACTGAAATTAAAGTCGCATCGGAACTTGTGACCAATTCGCTGCCTACTTCTGGACATTGACAGCAATCACACAGCCCAATTTGTCATCTATCAAATTTGATCGTTAGGAAAATAACGAATATAAATAACTTGACAGTTGTACGCGGTGCGCGAATAATAAAAAAAAACATATTTTCTTGTAAACTTGTTCCAAACTGCATACCCTTGATAAATTCTAATTCTGTGCCTGGCAATATTAACACAGTCGTGGAGGTCTGGCTGTTTCAGATGTAACTACCAAGCGGCAACTGACTCTTGAAGGAGAACTCCGGTGCAAAAACGCCTAGTGCAGTCTAGTATCTCCGTTAGCGGAGAATGTTCCAAACGCCCGCTAACGTCTCATCAGGTAGCAAGGATATTGCGTAACGTATTTGCTTGGATCTAAAAAAGGTTTAACTCGGTAACCTTAGAGACAGTGACGCACTTACCGTCAACCATACTGGTTTATAATCACGCTCCTGCGAGTCTCTATTGAAGATATATTTCATCCAGTTCAACGTGAAACCAAATCTGCTCATGGAGGTCAACTTTTTCTCTAACTCCTCCTCAGTCTTAATCTTCTCCAATTCTTTGAGGTGTTCCTCCATCTCATGGATTTGCGACGCATTTTGTTCGATAGATTCAGTGGCCGGCATATTGTTTTTGTTATCTTTACTACTGTTCGAACACTGCACTGTTGTCCAAATGGGGATTAATATAATTTTTGTTTGTATTACATTAACAAAGTGAATTATTAATGAAATACAAAAGATTTTTATTTTATTTTGTGTTGCAAAAAATTTATTTAGGGTTCAATTTAATTATTATGTTCAGATAATAGTAACAAAAAGATTATATGTATAGGGGTTCTTAAATCAATATACTTTAAATAGAAGGGCCCAAAACTATATACATACTTATATATCGTAATTTGATAGCAAAACGAGTGCCTAATGTGAGAGTTTTGTAAACAGCTTTTTCCCTCATAATACTTTGCCAAACTCAAAAGAAATCACATATATTTCTATCAAAGCAAAGTTATGTATAAAAAGTGAAATGTAGTTTATTTTTTTATGTAGATAAATATTTTTTATTATTATATATTCTTTGTTATGTAATATCGATAAATAGTAATACCCGATAAAACTAACTTAACTTTATCACATGACTGTCCCTGACCTATTCATTATAAATATAAACATTACACACATTAATCAATGTTTCATGTAAATAATTACATTTAATTTTGTATTACATTTTACAAACAATAAACGACTTGATTTGAAAATAAAATTTCATTTCAACAATTGAAATGTAATAAATATTTAACGTATTTCTTGAAAACATTAAATAAAATAAATGATTAAAACACTTTATCTATACAAAGAATGTTTGACCCACCAAATTAGAATAAATTTAATTTAATTCGATAACTTCTAACTTTAATGATAATTATATACAAAGGAATATTGTACACACGACTTATCCGTTTGAATTGTGTCGTAATACTGACATTATCTGTAAATGAATGAGGACGCGGCATTTATCGACTATCAATAAACAAAACGTGACTAAGTACAGTCAAGGAGGAAAGCTTTAAGTAAATTATATACTGATAATTTTGATTTAGAAAACAAAAATTAATAGTTAAAAATAATAATATATTTTTAGTGAAAAATTCTTAAAAAATTTAAACAATTTTCAATAAAAATGTTTTTCAGTATAGCATCGTGAATGCGAAATTGAACAAATATAATCTTATTAATATTATAAATGTGAAAGTTTCTTTGTTTGGATGTTTGTCCGTCAATCACGCCGAAACTACTGAATGGATTTTAATGAAATTAGTATACTGATAGGGTATTAGCTGACTCAGATAATAGGATACTTTTTATCCCACTAAAGATTTCCCTAGGGTCCACGCGGGCGATGCCGCTGGCGAAAGCTAGTAAATAATAATATGTTTAATTTTCTGCCGCGTAATATTATTGCGTAACGTAAAAATAGCAAATTATTCAAGCACAGAAGTGAAACATCCAAAGCATAAAGTTCAAAAGAGAAAAGTTCAAAAAGCAAAGAGTTAAATATAAATAGAATGATATATACATATATAAAGTCATATTTTCTTTCTTCAAATTATAAATAAAAAAAGAAAAAAGAAATTAATGACTGTTGAAATAAATTCAATCTCAACATTAAAATTTGTTTTATGAATGACCTATTTTAGTGGACCAGATTTGTTTAATTAGGTAATAATATTCAGGTTACTTGAGTAAAGCTGATTAACGTACATAATACACATTGTCTAATCGCATTAAAACAAATAACTTCCGC